CTCAACAGTTTGGGAGGCTGAGGTGGGTGGATCACAAGGTCAGGAGATCAAGACCATCCTGGCTAACATGGTGAAACCCCGTCTCCACTAAAAATACAAAAAATTAGCCGGTCATGGTGTTGGGCACCTGTAGTCCCAGCTACTCGGGAGGCTGAGACAGGAGAATGGCGTGAACAACCTTCTCTGCTTAGCTTGAATGACTATCCCTGATCATAAGTCAAAACTTTTTCAGCCTAACTCGTACTACTTATAGAATATTGTAAACATCTGACAACACAAGTCAGATGGCAAAGTGGAGTTGTAATTCTTGCAAAAGATGCAGAATTTCATGAAATTGATGAAAATAATGTTGGAGAACTGCTCCAATGTCAAGTATAGTCACGTCCGTCGTGCTACTAAAAAAGTACAAAAAAGTAGGCGCGGGTGTGGTGGCACGGCGGCCTGTTGTGAGTCGCCAGCTACGCTCAGAGGAGGCTGAGGCAGCGGGGGGAATGACGGGTGAGAGCCGCGGGAGGAGTGGAGCTTGCAGTGAGGCGAGGATTGTGCCACTGCACTCCAGCCCTGGGACAGAGAGACTGCGTGGTCAAAGCAAAAAAAAAGAAAAAGAGCGTGGAAAGGGACTGGACGAGATATTTACAATATAGATAGTATCCAATTATGTATTGTGTGTATCGTTTTTTTTTTTGTCCAGAGTTGCTGTTTGTTTGTATTATGTGTGTTGTGGCGTGTTGGTGTTGTTTACATTGTTTATCTCAAGCACTGTGAGGTCTTTTTGAGATTGGAAGATACTTGGAGCCCAGAGTTTGTGTCGCTGCATAAAGATGTGTAGATCTTTTTGTCTTTACATTATACTCTAATGTAGCCTTGCATTGTTTGGTTGGCTTTGTCTTGTTGTTTAGTGGGTGTTAGCGGGTGGTGTGTGAGAGGGTCCCAGGCCACGTTGGAGCCAGGGGGTGGGAGGGAGTCACGTTGAGCCCAGGAGGTAAGGTGCACATCAGCTGGATCTGCTCGGTCTTTGGGCGGCGTGGCGCTGCGCTCGGCGTTGTGGTGTGGGTGTGTGTGTGAGAAGGGAGATCGCAGAGTGATGGTGCACGTAGCCTCCTGGGCTCAAGTGATTCCGTCCCACCGGCGGCCTCCCAAGTGGGCTGGGATTACCAAGTGCGCACCGACCATGCAAAGGCTAATTTTGTATTTTTGTAAAAAGACAGGGTTTCACTTATTTTGATGCCAGTAGGTGCTCGAAACTCCTGGGCTGTCCGAAAAAAACGGTGGTGATCTTCCCATCTCAGCCTCCCAAGAGCTGAGGGTTGTGACGAGTTGGTGGGGCGCGAGCCGGATGCCAGCCTGGTCTTTCAGAAAATTAGCAGAAGAGTCTGGGATGACAGAGCGCTGGTTTGTATCGGGAGGTATTCTATTGTAAGAGGTAGTGCTCTTCCCAGGTCTTTCACTCTTTTTTTTTTTTGTTTTTTTGGAAGCAGTCTGCCACTCTGTCCAGCCAGGCTGGAGTGCAGTGGCACCCCGAATCGTCGGGC